CGGGGGCGGGGGCGCTCTCTGCGCGGCTGGGAGCGAGCCGCCCGCCGGGGTCGCGCGCGGGGGCCAGGTCCCAGCATAGCGAATCTCTCCTCTCCCTGGCCCCGCCCCTGCCAGTGGTTTCGCAGCCTTGGAGTTAGAGGAGCCCGCTGGGTTTAGAATCTTGGCGGAGAAAAGGTCTCTTCATTAAGACTCCTTCATCCCTTTGGAAAAGAAGAGGCCAAGCCCTCATTGTCCCGCGCTGCTAAAGACTGACCTTTGGGGTTCACGCCTGGAAACGTGTTTCATTTTATTGTTGTCCTCCCTGCAGATGCTAAGTGGGTCCCATCAGAAAGTGGTGCGGGAGCCTGCGTAAGCTGGGTCCCCACCCCCACCTTTCCTTTTCATTTTCCAAATCACCAAAGGAGTTCCAGACCCTATTACCTCTAGGGCAGTTGACCGCAAACAATCCCCCTTCCTCACTGTGACCAGCCAGACCCTGCCCCTTCCCCGAACTCCAATCAACTTTTCCTGCTGTGCACAGCTGCTTGGAGGAACTTTCAACTCTGCAATGGGTTGCCTGGCAAGGTTTTTTAATTGCTCGATTGAAGGATATACAAAAGAAACAGAAGGCCTGACTTCTGCCTCCGAGCTGGAAACGTCCTGTACCACATGCTGGTTCCTACGTGGTCTACGTAACTAGACCAACTAGACCGTAACTAGACCAACTAGACCGTGAGCATCTTGATGGCAGGAAGTACGCCTTGTTTATTACTATAACCCAGCTCCTCGCAGAGGTAGTAATAGTAGGTGTTCCCTGAATATTTGTTGAATTAATCAGAAGCCTAAATGAAAAGATAAGGCAACTGGTTTCATCCTCCATGAGCGTCACTGCTCTGAGCCCTGAATATTCATACTTTTCAAAAGATGCTCATTTATATATCCTTTAACCCTAAGCACATGTTCCTACGTATATGAGACCCAATATAGAGCCTTTTAGGAATCCACGCTAAGGCACAGAAAATCGAGTTCTGGATTTCTCTCTTGTATTCTTAGCAAGCATTTGGTATCAGTAGGTTATCTGTACAGTGTGTGCTCCTGCCTCCTCTTCTTGCCTCAAAAATAGTACTTTAGCTTTAAATTTTTAAAGACAGCTTATCGCACACAAAATTGGGTTCTGAATGTATTTCGAGCTTTACCACCTGTTCTCACGCATACCCACAGCCTCTAAAACCCAGGTGAAATGTGCAAAGCCCGTGATAGAATTTGCTATTGCTTCAGGAATTGATTGTAGTCATGTAGTAAATTTAACATTGACCTAGAATGTTTATTCAAGAAGACATATAAATATTAAGAAATTGATCCTCGGGCCGGCTGAGTGGCGTGTTGGTAAAGAACTGGCTTGGGATGAGAGAGGGCCCCAGTTCGGATTCCACATATGAGGGCCAGTGACACTGCCCTCTACAGCTAAGATGCTGAACAACAGCTCAACCTGGAGCTGGGCTGCCCTGAGTCGCCAG